ATTGAGTGCTTTCCTCAACGTGTGTCCTATCCACTTCCAGCGCTTCTTCCTGATTTCATCCTCCACTGGAATCTGGTTTGTTCTCTCCCACAGTTCGTTGTTGCTGATGGTGTCTGGCCAACGAATACGAAGTATTTTGCGAAGACAACTGTTCATAAACACTTGTATCTTCTGGATGATGGCTTTGGTAGTTTTCCAAGTTTCCGCTCCATGGAGTAGAACTGTCTTGACATTTGTATTGAAAATCCTGATTTTGGTTTTGTTTGAACGTTGTTTGGTGTTCCAGATATTTTACAACTGTAGGATAGGACAAAAATGATCACAATTAAAAAAGCTGAAAAACATTAGTCTCATATAATATACATGACTTTTTTATTTAGGCGTTCATTTCCTAGTATCTGCTTTATCCGACTTGAGTCTCAATTCCGCCTGGAGCATCTCTGGTGCTACTTCCGGTCCTAATCCTCGATAAAGGAGTGGCGTTTGGCATGCAGACAGACATGAATGAGGAACGAACAGCAATTGGATGGAACTAGACAGGAAGGTGCAGGACAGAGTAAGTTGGAGAATGCTGATCAACAGGTTATGCTCCATTGGAGGTAACAAGCGTTAGTAACTAAGTAATGATTATCAGTATTTCTCATTCAGAATTGAATAATATTAATTAATGTTATGTTCGTCACTAAGTATGCTTGAGGCTATTACGAGTTCACCTTTGTCGATAAACGCGAACGAGACAATTACCAGCGTCCAGATAGGCCACCTTCAATCCAAAGCTGTAAAACAGAAGACTTGATAAGCGTAGAAACTATATTCTACAAACATTCAGCAATCACACAATACAATCAAGCATACAACTCTCGTTTATTTATACATCATAGAAAAATCCTTGGTAGAGTCACAATAAAATAGCACACTAAAATAACACAGCAGCCAATCACAGCCATGAATTTTCCTAGTGAGAAATGAAATCTCAAGGTCAACCGACCAGCTCATGCTGGCAAACGTAAAATCCACAATTAAGGCATTATTTATCAATCGAGTTCTGTGGATCTAACATCCTCAACAATTAATACTTCCGTAAATCTTTAAGATATGTTTTTTTTTCTAATGAATTTTATAAAATTACACCAATATTTAAATATCTTTTATCATATGACAAAGTAGTAATCTTCAATATTGTACGTGATAATAAAAGTTGTAGATATGGTCTATGAATTATTCACTTTTTTTTTCTAAAAAAAACACGTTCAATTGAGATAGTAGTTTTTAAGTAGAGAAATAGAAAACAACTATGAAACGTGATGAATACAAAAAAAAACTGTTTGGGATAAGTAAATAATAAAGGTACATTTATTTATTTATTCATTCATTCATTTATTCATTATAAATAAAATTACAATACAGTATTCTACTATTTAGTGTCATTAAAATTAAATTAGTTGATTAGATAGTAAGCAGAATGATTATTATCATTTAGGTTTTCAAATTATTCTTCAACCGGAGTTATGGAGATTATTGTTTTATACACATTTGAAATCAATCAATCATTGATAGATCACCATAAGAAACCTGGAAGCACAGCAAGGCCGTTTCGTCCCGGTTTGAGACTCATCAGTAGCAGTGCGCATCCACGACTCCTGCTTCTCGAGGGATTCAAACCAGGGACCTTCGGTTTTGTGCGAGAACGCCTAACCTCCGGACCACTTAGCCGGCTTCATGAAGGAATCCTTAGAGTTCTAGTGAGAAGACGTAGCCAGTGGAGTTTAACCCTGTCGCATGTAGGCATTAAGTACCAAAGACAAACGGGTCAGGTCGTGCAAAATCTGTAAATTGATCAGAGTTAGACGTTAACACCGTTGGATGTCAACCCATTAGTCCAGAGGTTAAGCGTTCGCGTTCAAGACCGAAACTCCTGGATTTGAATTCTGAGAGTAACAACAGTCCTGGATGCGCACAGCTGAAGAGTCCCATACAAGGATGAAACGGCAGTGTAGTGTTTCCAGGTTTCTAATGGTGGTCTTACAATGGTTGACTGATGATCCTAACATATTCTCTGAATTCATAATATACTGGAATATACTGGGATAAATTTTGAATCTTTCTCATATTCCTCATTTTAAATAACTTTAATTCTTACTATAACACAGTATACAAAGCCAATAGTTTATGTAATGATTACCTTTTAAAAATCAATGAATTCTTGTAATCATATTATTCCTAGTTTCAGCTTAAGTTCGAATGTGATTACATTTAAATTCTCATTATGCCTTATCTATGTAATTAGGCGTACGTAACACTGCCTACCTAAACATATTGAGCACAAATCTCGATAAGTTTGATACCAAGCATTGGTTTTTTTCAAGTATTTCTGATCATACTCAAATGGATATCGAGTAACTTTGAAGGATGACTCTACTTTTACATAAGTTTATTCATTCTCCTTCCTAACTGATTAAGTACACGTTTATAAGCACTCAAGCATACGATTCTCTTAGTATGATCAAAATAACTATGTTTCTTAGTAATGTGTGAATTTCCGGTGTTTACAGTTTATAATGATCTAAACATGATCAATGACGTTATTTTAAATAAAATTAAACGTTTAGTATGGTTAAATGATTTATCCTAATTATCGGATGTTTTCTTTGTTCTGTTATTCAGCAGATAAGTAAATAAATATCTTATTTCTTTCTTCTAACATTTTTCTCTTAGTAACTTTATTGAGTAATTAAATACCTCGCTTAGAAAAAATCCATCAATAACACTGTAAATGTGAAAAATATAACTAGGAATTAATGACTGAGGTTAGAAGTAAGGTTTAATTTTAATGGAGTACTAGTCAACCATGTAAAATAAGTTAACAAATTAGTTTATTCATTTTTTTAAAAGCTTGAAATGAATAACTTTTTTAAATAACAGATATCTATCTACCTGTTAGGAGGATATTCACCAAATATCCTACGAAGAATTATTTTGTTAAGTGTAAATTCTATTGGTCAATATTATAATCGTTCTAGCTATCAATGTCACATACTTCAATGTTATTTCTTATTGGTTATCCTGAATATCATTGTCACTCCAAATGTTTTTTTCCTATTGGTCGCCTTAAATGTCAATGTCACAGACTTCGATGTTGTTTCCTAATAGACCTAAATGTACAAATAAACGTTTTATGACCTAGACCCGAACCCTAGACCGGGATCCTGATTCTTTTCTTCACTCGGACCTCGTACTTTCTACATGCTTGTAGAATATGTGTTCTACTTCAAATCAAGTCTTCTTATTTTACTCAATGGGGGTTGGGACACTCAGATTAGAGTAGCATGTCGTGTCGCTGAATCCTCGACCCTCGCTTTCGTTTTCCAACTAAGGTGAACTCGTAACAGTTCATGCATATCAAAATGACATGTTTACGTTCATGCGTAACACTACCATAGTTAAAATTGTATGTCATCTTAACAAACTAGAAGTAGCTTATTAGTAAGCAGTGGAATTTATTCACAAATCTGCAGTTCTAGTTGAAATAAAGCTATACATGCTTCTGCAAGCTTCAATTTATAGATTTTCATTGTTCCCTAGTCAGATTAGGTCGACTACTGATACAGGTGTAGCAGTTGGGATACGGTTGCCAAGTGAAAACTCCTAAACGAATCGAAACCAGAAATGCGGGCGTTATAGAATGACGATGTTTATTGATTAGAAGTCACGTGATATTAAAATGATATCACGTGTACAGCCAGGCAATAAAATAACAAGCACGATCAATTCAGCCACGGGATTGGGAAGGTTGGCGCTTGAGTTATGGCTTTAAGTCCAAATAAACAAAAGGCATACAATTAAACAGTTATTCAATAATAAGTATTTGCATGTCAGCAATTATTTTTTCTTCATAAAATAGTTTCACTACACGGGCAAGTTTGCTTACTCTCACCTTTTCTCATTCCCCCTGATGATCGACTGGATTATGAAGACGTCAACATCTGGAGGGAAGCAGGGTATAGAGTGGACAGTTCGGATGCAGCTGGACGATTTGGACTTCTCAGATTACCTAGCCCGTCTATCCCACACGCAACAATATATGCAGAAGACAACCATTGTGGCAGCAGCCTTTGCAGCAGTAGGTCTCAACATACACAATGGGGAAAACAGCAAGATCCTCCGATACAACACAAAATACACCATCCAAATCACACTTGATGGGAGAAGCATTGTAAGATGTAAAGACCTCTGCATATCTAGGCAGCATCATCGATAAATAAGATGGATCTGCTGTAGATCTAAAGGCATGAATCGGCTAAGCAAGGGCAGAATTTCTACGACTGAATAACATCAGGAACTTCAAACAACTATCGACCAAAAACAAAATTAGAATTTTCATTACATATGTCAAGTCACTTCTACTACTGTGTGGGGCGGAAATTTGGGAAACTACCTGCAGTGAATCCACTTTTATGAAGAGATCGTGATTGATT